GTACTAGACTATGTATACAGTTTGTCATTTTTTCTCATTTGTACTCACTGTGGGTACTTTAGTTTTTTATTCATTTATTTCATTAAAAACAAAATAACTATACAATAGAAAATAAAAATATACAAACCAAAGATCAAATAAAATGAAAGGCTGCAGAAAGAAGAAACAAATCTTATAAATCTGCCCCTTTTATCCCAAGAAAATATTCAAACAATTGTAATAGTAATAGTTTTATGGGGTTACTTAGTATTTGATACTACACTTTGTATCATGTCATGTGGTGTTTGAACTCATCCATGTTCAAGGAGTGGCATGTCTCATGACTCCTTTTACAATCAGCTGCAAAGAGCTCTGGTGCCATGGAGCTGCTAGTATTGCATTTTCACCAAAGCGTGTCACAGACAATTCATGCCTGACAAAATCATTTCTGTTTGCAAAAGAAAAGAAAAAGTTGTTTTTATTTAACATTTCTGAAAATAATACCATGCAGTGTTGCAGTGTTCACATGTTGGAGCTATTTTATCTGGATCTGAATCATTTTTCTCTAAAGGTCCTGACAGATGAAAGCACATTTTTAATACTTACAGAAATGTACAGTAATGGACCATTAATTTCCCCCTATAAACATAGAATTAGATCTCATGAGAAAATATTTTTGCGGTGAGAAGCATCCAGTTAAGACTCATCAGTCGCCTCAGGCTTAAAAATACAACAACTTCTGGTTAACTTCACTTTCACAGTTTTTTGCATGACTGACATGAGAAAATAAGGACAAAACGAACTTCACTGAGAACAAGTAGTAACTTGAAAACACCTCGCTTTCCCCTAACTGCCTCACTCTACAAAAGTGACTGACGTCCTGCAGATGCTATCTGGTTACCGAACTGATTTATTTTCCTTTTTTCAAAATAAAAGTCTTCGATTGAGCTCGGCAGACATGCTACACAGCTAGCTTTGCAAGATAACTGGAAGACACACGTAGCGACATAACACCGATGGCACCACATTATCCTTAGTTAACGTGGTAATATAGCTTTTATTATTTTAAACGAGGTGTTTAAATATGTGAAAATGTTAAAAGTCTAATAAATAAATACTAGCTGAAAAGTGAAATGATTTTTACCTTTAGCAGCGGTGACAGGAAGTGACGTTTTGTTATGAAACGATTTCTTCCACGGTTTACAACAGCGACACCCAGAGGCGGCGAGAGGTATTTCAGGAAGAGCCAGAACAAAACGATTTTATTTGTTTTATCCTTTTTTTTTTTTTTTTTTTTTTTTTGCATTACTCCTGCAAGTCCAAAATTTACATCTCAACAGAAGGTTATTTTAAATAAAACACATAGTTATATGAATATTGAGTCAGTATTTACACTGTTGGTTCCTGTTTAGTTTTTTTCATATCTTTATTTTTTGATTCCTAACAGCTCATTCTATATTATAGCCATTTACAAATAAAATATTTAGCTTGTTCAAGAGATGAGTAATTTGATGTTGTAATGTTGAAATAGCATTTTGAAAGTGACATGAAATTATCAAAATAGACTAAATGTTTAAACTCAAACTTTTAGTTTATTTACTGAGAATAATTGACCATCATTTTATGTTAGAATAATGCCTTTATTATTTCATAGTTTGTCTTAATTTTTTATCAGTATTTTAATTTTGCTTTTGACATTTTTCACTCTGTCCACAAAATCGCACTAAGAAAAGCGTCTCTTTGTATTTCTTTTCTCAGTGACACCTTTCACCTTTTCACAACTCTGCACATTTATTTCCACCCATATGTCCAGTAATCAAATAATTTTGGGGAAAATCTGTGTCTCAAACAGCAGTTGGTGCAGCTCCAAACCCTGCAGCATAAGGGGCCCTGATGAGTGTAATCAGCGCCGGGCTGAATTGGACTGAACACATGGAGAGTCTTTCGCAGTTGGTGCTTAATCATGATGCTTGATCACCAGCTCTGCAAGCTGTTCCCACAGCAGAGCAGGAGCTGCTGCAGCTGACTGAGTACCAGGCTTCATTATACTTTATGTACTAGTAAACAGATTATTTCCCTCGAAGGAAAACAGACTGATGTGATTTTCTTTTATTATAACCAAAATCTTAACTGAATAGAACTGGTCATTTTTAGTTGTGTTATAAATAGTTTTTTGTTGTTTTTTGGTGTCCACACACAAACAGAAAACATTGATTTCCCACCGCTGTCCATCGCAGTGTGGACTTGCATGGCTTTCATGAGAAATAACTCCTATTTTCTTAGAAAAATCAAAACATGTCTGAAGAAAAAACAAGCAATTCCAGTCAACCTGTTAAGTGTTAACAGGTTGACATCTTGTCACACAACTTGTCATTTGAAGCCTAACCAGGATTTAAAAAATACAAGTGTTTTAAAAATGAACAAATAGACTAAAACAATAATTTTATGCAGCAGAAACATCACTAATCCAGTTATTCTGCTTTGACAAATGTGTGACTTGATGATGTTTAAACTTTAAACTGAAGCTTATTTCCTCATTCCTCCACAATTCAATTAGTGTTTCTCTATAAACTAGAGAATTAGCATTTTGTGCTAATTAAATAAAGCAGCATGATGGCTGAGTGCTCAATGAATTTACTGAAATAAACCAAAAATTAAACAAAGAACACTAGCTAAAAGCTACAGGCAACAAAACAATTGTTTAAAGTTACATTTTACAAAACACTAGCTAAAAAACAAAAGTAAAAAAATGTTTTGTTAAAAAAATGCTATTTAGAAAAGCAGCAAAATGCTAGCTAACAGCTAATAAAGTGGTAACTGGAACCTAAATGTAGCAAAAACTAAAAACTAAACTACTTAAAAGTTAAAAACATCAAATAAGCCACATACAGAAATAAAAGTAGCAGAAGATGACAAAAACAGAGCTTAAAATACGTATATAGATTTTAAAGAGGAAAGGTTTTTTTTCATGAATTTAAGAGAAACTGTATTTTAGTGGGAAAATATTTCAAAATGAAGTTTAACATTTCAACAAATACACACCTTACAGAAACAGAAACAAGAACACAAATGTTGTAAAAGAATTGCTAAGTTACAAGACTGTTGTTAAAACATGGGGAACACTAACAGGAATGAAAGGGACTTTTTTCAGGGAACTTTAATCCTCTGTCAGCGTCCTTTAAACACAGATAACTTCACCAGCTCGTAAAAGTGTGAGTTCTGGGAATGCGAGGAGGCTTATCTGAACTTTATTTACTTTGACATGTTTGTATGCAGCTGGTTATCTCCCAACCAGTGTTTAACTCAGCACCTGCACAGGTACAGAGTTCGACATCTTCACCTGCATACTGATGTGGTGACTGAGCAAGAGAAAATGAAAACAAGACAAAGAACAAGCTCTACCAGAAGACCTGAACAAGGAAGACTTTAACATTATTATCTGTATATAGTAAAGATTTTCACAGATTTCATTTATCTTGTTAAAATTTTTTTGAAAATTTCTTTTGCAACTTAAACAACAATCAGACAGATAAATAGACAGTTTGTGAACCGGACTGTACAGTTTGAGTGTTTATCAGTGAAAAAGTTCTTTCATAGGGCAACAAAACAAGTAGTTATTAATTTATGTGGGTGTTTGTGGGTTTGTTAGCAAAATATCTCATGAACTAGTGGATAGATTTTAATGAAACTCTCACAAAGAAACCATTAGGTGCCGCTACTGAAACTAACTTAATGCAAAAGGGCCGTCAAGACATGACCATCTCAAAAAATGGCTATAAATCAGACAGTTTTACAGATTATGAGCAAAATTTGGTGCTAAGAGTCATCAAAAAGTTATATTATTTTCATGGTTTGAACATAACTCTGTCAGTTTTTTTTTATCCTAGTTTAAAAGTTTAACGATATTGAAGGTTTGGTCCTAAATTTTATTGTTACAACCCTATTTATGAGATGGCTGGGTCTGATTGCAGGATAACAATGATACACTCTGAACTGCTCGAGTTTAATATTAACAAGCTCACAAAAATGYCCCTTTCAGTGATCAGAAGATAAGTTATACATTAACAAAAAATGGTGCTGAGTACGAGCTTAGCAGTAAAAATGATTCATCTGAAGCACATGTGGAAGTCAGAGATCAAACTAATAAATATATAACTGACTCAGCTACCCAAACAGCCCCTCGTAAGTTTGTATTTTTTGTTTGCTTTTTTAATTTAAAAAACCCACCAAAATTCAAAGAAAAACTTTGAAAGACCTTCAAAAAACCTAAAACTCTTTTGAATCTAAGAACTTTAAAAATGTTCAAATAAGCTTCCTTGGAAGGAAAGCATAACAGGATAACTCAACACTTACTGTATCCACACGATTGTTTGCCTTTTCCTCATACAAAAGCTTTTATTGTTGTGTAGGATATCTCCTACTTCTTAAACAACACAAAACTGACACTGCAGGCAAAAAGCTCTGAATTAACGATTTTTGTTGCCTCACAGCAACAAAGGAAACATTATATTGAACGCTCCAAGGTAGCAGGAACATTACACGCGACATTACCTGATACTTCTAGATTTAGTTCAGATTATTCTACACCCTAAATGAAAGTGTTCCAGTAAAACAAACAATCACTGCATGCATTTGCAAACATGGTGTAACCAAACGGACATAAGGAAATTCCCACAAAAATTACATGTAGGTGTAAACTGCTCTCAGGTGACCTGTGGGAACCAAATGAATGAGTAGCTGTAATGGTTTTTAATGAGACAGAAGCAGGATCTGGTTTTAGATTACTGCTAGTTACCTCAATCAAACTTGTCATGATAAAACAGATGATTTTATGTGAGTTCTATCTGATCCAGTCAATCTAAAGTGACAAATGTGTGTGTGTACCTGGGTTTTGTTACCTTTTTAAGAACCTTTCTGGTATAAATATCTACCTTATCAGGACCAGTAGACCTTTGGGAAAACAAAGTCTGGTCCTCAAATACTGGAATGACATTGGTGGGTTAGGGGTCAGGCTTAGGACTAAGATATGAACTGAGGCGAGGTGGGGTTAGGTACTGGGGTGGTTGCGTTTAGGGTAAGGGGTCAGGGTTAGGCTATGAGACTGGCAAATGAATGGAAGTCAAGACAAAGTCCCCATGAGGATAGAAGAACAAACGTGTGTGTGTGGACTGTAGTCGTTGCATAATGGGGATGATTTTCCAGAAAACCACAGCCTTGTGGGGACCCAATGTGCCTTATAGGGACCAAAGTCTGGTCCCCATGGGTACGGACGCTGATCTTGGGTGAGGGGTTCAGTTTAGGACTACGGTGTGAATTGAGTTGATTAGGTTTAGGGTAACGAGTCAGGTTTAGGCTATAGAATTTTTTTCCTTTATTAATTTATTTCATTCATAAAAACAACAAAAAGTCCATTAAAAAACAAAGTAAATCAATTTTTAAATGAAAAGGATGCAGAAAAAAATCTTGTAATACAGTATCTGCTCTTTTTGAAATAACTGGAAAATGTATGTAAGTCAATGCGAAGTCCCCACGAGGACATAAAAACCAACATGTGTGTGTGTGTGTGTGTGTGTGTGTGTGTGTGTGTGTGTGTGTGTGTGTGTGTGT